CTGTCGTCCAAAGAAATGGTCACGCCGTCACCTTCCTTCAAACCAAGCTGGTCAACAACGTATTTCCAGCCAGTTTCCAGGAGAACGAGGCGATCATGAGTTCGTCCGAGTGAGAAGGTGACTGGGAACTCGCGATTTCCACTCTTCAATGTCGCACCAGCATGTCGACTTTGCCCCTGTAAGGTCGCGGGCAAAAGATGACGAAGTGTCTGCATTACCGCTTTTGGAAAGACAAGTTTTTTGAGGTATGAGTGGCGAAGAGTTATAGAGGCAACCACGTTTTGCTCTTCTGCCATTATAGATTGATTCAAGCTCAACTGATGAGGAAGAAGGATGCCTGTGGGTTGAGGGGCGCTGGCTTAGCCCGCAATTTATAGAGCGGGGGTAAAATGAAATTGCGAAATTTCCCTTGGCGTTGCGTGCTGTCCCATTCCACTTGTGTTGCATGCTGTCCGTTTCCAGTTGGTGTTCCATGTTGTCCCCTTCCATTTGGTGATGATGTCCCTTTCGCTACTTACCTACTAGCAGCGGACCACCCTCGCCGGGCATAATGGACCCAGCCTTAGAAAATATATAATCTGTCTTATGCAGTATGTGGTTAATATTGTTGAATAGCTTATAAGTGTTTAACATCTCACATAAAACGAAAAAAAAAAGAAGTAAAGTTCGGAAATCTAAAAGAGTTTATAAAGACGGATAAGGTTGATATTGTTGAATAGTTTATAAAGATTTAATATCTCACATAAAATTAAAAAAAAAAAAAAGAAAAAGAAGTAAAGTTCGGAAATCTAAAGAAATTTATAAACATTTATTTTTTATCAGTAAATACTTAAATAGAATGATTCAAACTAAATTAGATCTTACCTTTTTATATATAGTGGAAGTGACTCAAGACAAGTTGGTTGTCAGAAGTTAATTTTATTTTTTATTTTTATTTATTTTTAGATTTTTTAATTTATCTTATTAAATTTAAATTGAAAAAAACATATTAAAATCAGACATAATTTTTGGTAATTAAAATATATTTTTATGAAATGGTGTTTTTTTGAAAGAATATATTTTTATAAACAAGGCTTTTAAAATTGGACCGGTCATTGAACCGTTTTCAGGTCCGATTTTTGGTTTAATTGGTTCAATCGGTTGAACCGATAAACCAATCGATCCAAACAACAAGAAAGATTTGATGAGAGGAGCAAGTTGCAGGCATGGATTTTCTAATTTGGTGTTGATAATTTTGTAATTTTGTTAAAATTAAAGGTTAAAATGGGTATAAGAAAGGAATGGGAATGGTGAAATTGGAAAAAATTGAAAGAAGATTGCATGAGAAATTGAACTAGTGGTTTTTTTTGTTCTACCGATTTCATCGGTTTTTATCGATTTTTATTGGTTTTCATCGGTTTTCACCGATTTTTGACCAATTTTGACCTCAAATGGTTTTTTTATGTAAACCGAACCATTTTTATCATCAGGTATCAGCCTGACTGGTTCAACCGACCGATCCGGTCCAATTTTAAAAACCTTGCTTATAAATAGTGACCTTTTAAACAATATAAATTTCAATGTAAAATCAAAATTTAATATCTAATTCTAAAAGAGTTTTAAATTCTATTATATACTGAAAAATTTTAATCATGAGATCACGCCTTAAACTTTCCTTTTATTCTTGTGCCATTTTTCTTATTTTTTTAACAAACATTCAAGTCATATACAGTATAAAATTAAATTGAATTATTATGTTTTAATTTTTAATACATGCATTACAGGTTAAGTTGAAAGTCCGAACAACACTCTAAGGGTGTTTAAGAATTGTTAAAATCACATACAACAGCCTTTTTGGTTTGCCAAAAAAAAAATGAAAAAGAAGATTTTCATTTGTATCTTTAAATGCATCTTAAATATTAAAATTTAAAGAATAGAACTAAAGTTAAAAGAGGATAA